ATGAGGATTATTAAAGTCAGTGTCCTGGCTGTGACTGTCCTTTTAGACAGCCATGTCAGTGTCCTCTGCCTGTGTGTGATTCTGGGATACATGTACTGCCTTTCTAATAGCTAAACCTCCAACCAGTAAAGTAGCTGCTGCATCTGTCAGCCTTGATAGAGCCTCCTGAGAATGAAGCTGACCTGCAGTGTCTGGGATAGAGCAATCCAGGGCCCCAGATTCTTATGGAGTTGGAGGTCTTGTAACAACCCTTATCAGAAGCATGTCTCAGGTTCAAATCTATTACAAAAGCCTAAGTTATTCCTGTATGATAGAGACACTGTGTTTTGATTTCATGATTGATGTTCTAAGCAAATATTCACCCGTCCCCTTATATAACTGAAACCCATTCATACAAATTTTTAAAAAGTTTTACATAAATGATTAAGTCATTTACATTCTCTTATGACAATCTTCACACTTGATAGAAGACAGAAGCTGAATAAGCATTATCTTTTTTAATAATTTCCATGTGGTCTGCTAAATCTTAGAGAGCTAGTAATTGTGATTAAATTGTACACAGTCTCTAACATTTTGTGAAGGCATATTGTAAAAGTGAGGATTGCTCTGGAATAAATTATTGAGAGATGTATGTCATTATATATTCACCATGAATTAAGGAAGTGTTTCTAGGCATCATGTTAATCCATGTCAAGGAAGGACAATGAAGGTCAAGGAGGAAGAGCCTTGAAAGCTTCTTAGAATATGAATTATTATAGTGGGGTCAATATGATTAGCAAAATGAGCAATGATAGTAAGTAGAGTGTTTCCTGAACAAGAGGCAATCATAAGATCTTTGTGGAAAGAAAGCTAAATTATTCTTCACAGGCATAAATCATTGTAGTATTCTTGACAATTCTTATTATAATTACCATATTGCACTTGCTGCTTTCTCTGTAAAGCAGCAAGAAAGAATATTCAGTAGCGGTTTTGGAATGAAGCACTAATATCACTCTAAAAGAACATAGAAAGTAGAAAATGAATACTCTGAAGAGCTATGGAAAAAGCAGAACTGAGAGCATATATTTCCATAACCAAAAGAGATTAATATTATTTTCTCCTCTGACATTTTTTTCTTTTTCTGTTTTTTTTTTTTTTTTTTTGACTGCATATTTTAAGCTAAGATTTGTTTCGTATTCTATGCAAGAATTTTGAACTGTGAAGAACAAGATTTAAAAATCATCAAGAGAAACAGATCACTTATAATGTATTTTAACACCATACTATTTTCAAATAATATAAACAAAGATTTAACACATAAACTGAGGGAAATAATTTTGTGATTAACTGTCAATGGTTTATGGGCTGAAAAATGTACTTAAAATATCATAGATTTGATAGGTTATTTAATAGGTGATAGTGAATAAAATAAAAATCTCAGAATCACAGAATCTTGTCATATTTCTATGATTAAGTACAAAATACACAAGAGATAAGGCACAAAGACAACCTCTCTGTCCTTCTAAGGACATGCAAAATACTTACAGTTTTACCATCTTTTATTTATAAATTATAGTGTCAAAACTATTAATATTTTAAAGGTATAACTGTAATAAAAAATTGCAATTGTTATTTTGGACAGCATGATTTATTAGTTATAATGAGGCAAAATATTATTCATTTTTATCTACATTATTGTGTATTTTTGCTAGGTAAAACTAGGTAATAACTGTGAGTGATTTTGTAAAGTAAAAAACAGTTACTGGTCACAGGAATTTTAAAAACTCTTTCCTTTGCAGATATTTATATTTTGCCTTACTTACAGGAAGCTTTGAAAGTATTGTATCAAGAATGCATGTAGATCTTAATAAACTATGACTGAGTGCAACAGTATCAATTTAAAAAGGAAATACCATTCTGTTCATTAGGGAAATAAAACTGAATTTTCTGATGCAATAATGAATGCATTGCTTCTTCACTGACAAATTTTGCAGTTGATGTAGTTGATGGTTATCTGCAAAGATAGGTGTTATCATAGATGTGTCTCTTTTCCAGTAATACATTTTTATTGCTCTCTTCGCTAACATTCCTAACAAATGTAGCAAATAAATTGTCAATTCATTATTTAGTAGTAATTTAATAACCGACAGATAAAGTGATAATATGTTGATTAACTCATTTACATATAACAATTTAAGTGCAATTTTAGATTTTCTTATTAAATTTAAGGCAGAAGTATTATTTCCTAAGTGACGAGTTTTACTTAAAAAGAAAATACATACACGATTTTATCATAGTTCTAATCATGAACTTGTTTCATTTAGTACACTGAGCACTTGAGAATACAGATTGACCAAACGTCTTTTTATTCATTTATTTCTCTTATGAATCTTAGTTTCCACTCCATTCCGTTTACTCACTGTATTTTCCATTTTGCCCTTCCACTTCTTTTCAAGTTCCTTGTTTTCTATCAGCAGGCCAGAGCAATTATATTGAACAGTTTCTGATCGGAAGAAGTGACTAATCATAAGAAGAGGTGGATTTAGTTGCTTAAAAGAGGCACTGAGGATATTCTGTATTACCATCAGGTACCACTCCAAGGTTTCCAGTGGCCTATCAAAGCAGTGAGGATCTCTCAGATTGAGGCATCTCAAATGAAACTAGATGCTTATTTTTAAGCAACTAAATTATTAATTAATTATTATTCAGAGATGACAGAATTTCAAGTGCTTATTTTTTTCCCCTGAAATTCTTGAAAACCTACACAGTTATTACAATGCAATTCCCTTTTAAACTAAAAATTCTATGCTTGCAAACAGTTGTTTTTGTTTTGAAAGGACACTCTTGTTCTACCTTGACTAGTACTAATATTCCATTCCTATGAACTGTTTTGACAAATCAGAGCCTAGATAAGAAATTGTATGAGTAAGCTGTAGACAGTGATAGGACAAGGGGGAATGGTTATACACTCGAGGAGGGAAGGTTTAGATTGGATGTTGGGGGAAGTTCTTTGTGGAAAGAGTGGTGAGGTGCTGGAACAGGCTGCCCAGAGATGTTATGGATGCCCTGTCTCTGGAGCTGTTCAAGGCCAGGTTGGGTGGGGCCCTGGGAAACCTGGTCTACTACCAGATTTGGAGGTTAGTTGACAGTTGATGTTAGCTAATTGGAATTTGATGATTCTCGGAGCCCCTGCCAACACAAGCCATTCTATGATTCTATGATACTAGCTTCTTTCTTGCCATTTTCTTCCACTAAAATAGTCAGGAATTCCATTCCCATTTTTGTTTTTGTGTCCAGCCTTTTTTATGCATCTAGTCATTTCCTTGGTCAGCCAAATACTTGATGTACAAGAGATTCAGGCTCATTTTGTGTATCTTACACGATTCTGAATTTCAACCAAAAATCCTGCCATTAAACCCAAAAAATTATTTTTACCCAAGCAAAGTTTCTAAAAATAGATTTGAATGTGTTACTTTTTTTTGTTGTTCGTTGGTTGGTTCTTTTATGTTTTAGATCTCATGCTAGTTATAAACCTTAGGTACTTTTTCAGGATGACTATTTTCTTAGAATAGTAAATATGACATTCACTTGTGCTCCAGGTCCACAAGATCCATAAATCTTATCAGTTTTGTTTCCTTTCTTTACTTCAAGAATAATATGATAATAATTAAAATTCAGTGTCACTTACTTTTACTCTCTAGATTTACTTGTAGTTGCTCTTTAATTTTTCCCACTGTTGTTTAGAGGATATACATATGTAGCCCAAAAAGTAATGCCTCCTAAATCTTGTAAATATTTTTATTAAGTAAATATTCACAATCATTGTAAAATTACTGTTTTTTCTGACATTTCACTACCTGGAATAACTTTGGATCCTTGTGCGCTTTCCATAAATTGTCTCTTTCCTTATACAAAATTCTAGTTTATTTTTTCCAATTTACATTCTCTTTTTTGAAACGTATTTCATTGTCTTTCTTTTCTGGTAAAGCTTTTTTTAATAACTTTCCCAGGTCCTCTTTGATTTAACTGATTATTTTTACAACAGAAAAGTAATTCAATTGCACTCCTCCAAACAGAAAAGTGTGATCTCTTAACATCATCTGATCACTAGTGTCATCTTTCTTTCATAACATGCTATTTCTGTTTTTCTTAAGATATAGATATTAAATACAGAGTTTACAAAGCAAAATAATTAGTTCTTTAGCCAGTGAATAAACACAAAAAAAAAAAACCCACTCTATACACGGTAAATAGATGTTAAATTAGATATATTTTCAACATAGAGTAAATATTTAACTCAAGAATAGTGATTAGAACTTGTACGTTCTATGAATGCTTACCTATTTTTTTTATTCTCTGTCCTTTGAACTGATAACTGTTGCTAGTCACACTGAATTAGTTAATTATCACACACATGTTTCTGTTTAAACACATTCGCTTTCAAGGGAATTGTGAAAGAAATATTCTTATGCTACTGTATTGATTGGTGAGCTATTAAGGTTCCAATTCAAGAAACATCTGCTAGTTACTCAGCCTCAGGTGTCTTGCTTGATTAAGTATTAATTCTTAAATTGATGCCAGATTCTCATTAACGCTCACATGAATAAAGATAGAGACTAACTGCATTAGTTCTCTAAAACAACTCCTTAAATGAGTAATAGCTGCTTTGTTTTCATGAGATAAAGCCTTATGTAGTTCTGGAAAAATGAAGGGATACATTAGGAATTATACCTGAATCAGTACAGTGGTAACAAAGACGTGAAATTCATAACTTCAGCTTCTTAATCTCTGTCTGACTAGATCTGTAGACAGCATAAGAGATTGGTACAAGGTATGTGTAGGGGAACTGCTGGATTACAGCCTGAACCTCTGATTGACCACTGGAGGCAAGCACTGAATCAGCCACGGGAGCACAGGTGAAGGCAATTCATCTGTGCGATTGGAAGGGGTGGAGCCTGGCTCCACCTCTCCTAGACCCCATTTAAGGGCTGACTGCCACTGAGAAAGGATCTCTCTCTAGAGGTTGTTTCATTGTGGAGTTTCTTGTGAGCTTACAGCCTGGTGAGTAGTTTCCACTTATCTCTGATTATCATTTCCAACATGATAATCTTAATGCCCTAACTTCTTTGTATACTTATCAGTCATCCAATGCTTTACAACATCTGTATACTAATTGATCTTACAGTATTACTATTGAAGACTGCAAGAACTAAATGCGTTTTGCAATTGAGAAACATGTTCTCTACATAATGCTGAGATAAAGGATAGCTTGTTTTTATATAATCATATTTGGATGTTAGAGATCTAGTTCCAGTTAATTTTGGGTAAACTGTCTCTGTTCTTGAATTCAGATGAAAGATGATAGAATGTCTTAGTCTTTCTTTAAAAGATCTTTAATTCAGTTCTCCATACCTACACCTCCATGTTTAAAAAGAGAAGAAAAAGCAAAATCAATTAACACTTTGATTTTAGGTACTTTGATTTTATGTACTATGTAAAAAGCTCATGGATTAACAGAGAAACAGGTGTTACATTGTTTTTCAGACAGAATGATTTAAGTATTAAATTTTATTTTAATAATAAATACTGCTAAAAGACAAAGTTTTGCAAAGCAGAATTGGTGATTTTTGGTGATCAGTTCAAAGCTATAACCTCAAAATCATGCTTGTTTTCTGTCAACAATGTAAATATTCAAACTATTTCAAACAGTAATGATGTGACAAATTAGATATCAAACATTTGACAGTAACAGAAATGCGAAGTCACGGCCTGAAACAGTGATTTAATATGTGGTAGAAAGGCAGGACGAACTCGGGAGCTCAGGTGCACGCAGTGCAGCTGTGTGACCAGAAAAGGTGGAGATAGGATCCACCTCTTCCTAGATCTCATTTAAGGGCTGGCAGTAAAAGTAAGGGTATCTTGTAGAAGGTCCCTGTGTACTTGAGGCCTTCTGGGAGTAAGAAGGCTTTTCTGTTGTCTTTTCCCCGCTTTGTTTCTGCTCCTACAGACCACATCCTTACTTGCTGTAGTCTAGGACTTTGCCACCCTACTCTTGTTGTGCTTTCCATCACACTATAGCATTATAGTAACACAACTGTTTTTTCTGATTTTTTTTTTTTTTAAAAGTAACAAGCACAAGAAAAATATGGAATGCCTGAATGTGGGAGCCTGCTTTTCTTTTCTGAAAGGTAAGCTGTGAGTTGATTTTTCTATGTGACTACTGCATTACAATTATATGAAAAAATACTGAAAATATTACAATTAAATCAATACCCTTTCTCTTAGTTAATGAACTGTTAAAGACTGGGGAAGGCAAAAATGCACAAACAGAAAAATAACCTCAATGCTTAATTCATCTTTGTTTTATCTATATTATTTTTCTTAACAGCTATGGAAATGTCATTTGGATAAAATTCTTCTCAATTTAAGTAGCAATACATTTACAAAATTTGCTTTTATTTTTAATGGTAATATAAAAGTACTCACCTGCAAAGAAAATGCAGTTAATCTTATTGAATTAATGTAAATTTATTCAATAGCTAATCCGTTATCTATAAGGGTAGGCCTTTTTTATTCAAAGAAGTAAAAATATAAATGAATGTAATAAGGCATTATTTCATTTATTCTATCACTTTCAATATACTTATTGTTTCCTGAAACTGTAATATTAAAATTGAACCAACTGTCCAGAAGTGCTCTTGTGTACTCAACTTTTCAGTTAAGAAAAAGAGTATATTGGTGTTGTGCTTCTTCAGTTTGGTTTGTGTCAGAAGAATTAATACAAATTGGCTGAAGAAACTAATGTCAGGTCTTTCTTCTCTGCCCAGTAACAATGACAGTTAAGTTTAAATCTTTGTTTAAATGTTTACTAATAACATCATATTCACAAACTGGTTTTCATTGGTAGGTTTCTGCTCTGCTGTTTTATCAGGTCCGTACATACAGAGATCTGTAGATTGATGTTTCCTCTCTTTAGTCTGAGAAATTAAGGTGAAGATGAAGACTTAAGGGAAATGGAGGCTTCTTAGGACTAGACAGGCAAAATACCAGTCTAAGAAGACAGAACTGATTTTAATACAGAAGTTACATAACTTAATAAATATGCATCTTTATGAATGCTAATCTCTTACAATCAATATTATCAGTCATCTCACTGTATCCAAAAGTGTGATTGATTTAACTGGTTGGTGTGTGTGTGTGTCACACATACACAGAGCTTACTTCATGGGTTGTAGCTCCTGTCAGGAAATATCTAGCTTATCAAACATGGAATCTTACATCAGAAATGTGAAATACTTGCTGCACATATTGTGGCCTCCACAGAGTACTTGGGAATATCTGCTCTGTAACACCTGGAACGCCTTCTCTGATTTTGTGATCATTAGATTTTTGACACTTCTTCTCATTACGCATTTAGCAGTTTCTGCACTTCCTTAAATGTGTTTCCACAGAGGTGCCACTGATTTGATTGGTAGGCTTAAGTAGAACCGACTGTGTCTTCTCACAGAAGCAATCCATGCAGCCCCCTAGTGGCAACACCTTGCCCCCAGACTCCCAAAGCGGTATTATATCAGGCAGTCTTAGTGCAGCAACAGCTGTTTTTACAGAAAGATAAGTGCATTTGAAAACTGGAAGCATCTTTAGAAACTTTTACAAAGTGTTTACTAATGCCATTAATAATGTCAGTATCTTGTCACTGATAAAGTCTTTTGTATGTTGGTTAAGGTTTCTAGTAGTAATCAAGAGTAACTTGAGCAGAAAATGATGACGTGAAGTACAAGAGTCTTAAAAGAGATAATAGGGAACTTCTTTGATTTAAGAAGGAAAAAGTATGCAAAAATATTTCTTCTTTGTCAAAGATATTCTTTGATTTTCAAAAATGTCTAATTCTTTCCAATCATTAGCAAACTTGTGCAACATTTATTCTACCTTATTGCTGAGTTTCAAAATTCCTTGGGCCTCATGAAACAGATAGGATAGCACAGGTAACAAAACACATGCAACAATCTGCTTTACAGAAACTTCCTAGGAGTCTTCTACCTTTCCTGCTGTTAAAGATTATGAAAAGTCTGAATTTCTGAGCCTTATAGTTATTTGGAAGAAAATGGCAGTTGCTAAAGTGTTTTTAAAGTTTCTTCATGCTAAGAGGTTTTGTTTTGAGCATATGAAAAATATAATTCATGTAATTCCCTAATAAGGTTTCATTACAATTACTGGAAGACAATGATAAGTGTTAAGATTTCAATAAAAATAGTGTGAGTAACGTGACAGAATTAAAGTTGTCTGGAAAAACACCTCACAGTTGATTTCTTTAAAGTTGTAGCATAATAAGTATTTAAATAAAGCAGTGCAAATAGTTGCAAATACTTTACAGTCACTTTGTTATTTTTCTTGTTATCAGCCATGTGGAACTCAGTATGCTTTGAAGACAAAAATGGTTATTTAAAAAATTCACTTTAATGTCTATCAGAAAAAGCTTGAGAGAGGAAGGATGCGTGGAGCAATGTAAGGACTGAGTGGAAAATATTTTCATGAATATTTCTTATTCCAGAGAAATTTAAATATATCCCTTATTCAATGAAAAAAATTAAGTATTCTTATTTCCTACTTTTCAAAAACAAAAGTCAGGTTCACTCAGTATTTCTGCATCTTAAGATTGTCTAATGATATATTCCATCTCTGATCATCACCGTACTTATAGTATACTAAAGTACCTGTGAAGGCTGAGAACCTAATAGCAATTTGTTATTACTAATGGATCCTTTTATCTACTTCTCACTCCATTTTATACAATCTAGGATGTTCGTCTAATATAAAATGTTGAGTCAGTGAAATGCATGTATTCAGTTGTGCTGACCCAAAGATAAAGGGTTGAGGCAAAGAATATTCAAGGGTTTACAGATCAAACTCCAAACTTGTGAGTGTAGGATGAAATCTGTAACCGTTATTTAGAGTGACTGTGTGTTTAATCCTTACAGTGACCAATAATTAAGAGTCTTAATGGATTTTTTCACTTTTTTTTAAGCAGCCAGGTTGCAACTCCTCCTATCCAGACCAAATCTCACTTTGTGTATTGATGTATCTTCCACTTGACTGCATGATAATGTTTATCATTACAGTAGAGATTTATGGTTAGAATCTATCTTAATTCTTATTTACAGTAAATTAAAACAATCTCCACTAGACTAGTGGCTGAAACACCCAACATACACTCCAATGCTTATCGAATCTCTGTACAACTTTATGAGATGGGTTGAACTTATTTCTGAAGACTATTTATTAGTTCTCCAGACAAATTAAAGGACCTTGATAATTGTAAGTCCAATTTATGTTTTAATGTGGCTCCATTAGGGACTTTTATGGCTATAATATCATTACTGGTGTACATTTATTTAATACAAACAGTGGCTATCAATTAAAATGAGATTGAAGTGGAGCTTGGGGCAAATAAATTTTCCTTTTAGTATGCATCTGTAACGAGATTGTATGAGGATATAGGTGCATTGTAATGGCTTATTCTTTGAAGTTAAATGGATCCAAATCTGGGACCCTTTCTGCCTGCATTAAAGAAGTTCTAGCATAATACAATTCTGGAAGCATCTGAACTGTTCCTTTGAGAGATCACTTACACAAGCATAATCTCCAGGGATATGGGACCTCAACATCAGTTCTAAGAAATTCCTTTTCTCTCTGTGAGCCAAAGGGGGGGGGAGTGTGACCTGGCTTCCCAAATGCCATGGATATCTCCTGCTGCTTACTTTGCCAGCTGATGGATGTTACCACTGCATGAAAAATCTACAAAATATTTCACTTAATTCACTTAAGTGAAGGAAGTTGAAGAGAGGTACAGGAAGAAGAGATCTATTTTACAGAAAAAACAAGCAGCTAATAAAACTTTCAGATGCAGCTGGAAGATCTTGGCTTGATTTCATCATAAAGACACAATAACTAGAATTTATTAAGTATGCTTTTTCTGATGTATGCTTTAATTTTTGTAGGAATGCCATTTAACAATAGGTGGTAACAACATAATTTTTAATCATGTGTATTCCTACCAAACCTTTTTTTTATTTTTTCCTACAGTGAAAATACTACTTACACAGATTATATCTGAGAAACATTGCAGAAAGGTATTTTGTATTAGATTCCTTTATTCACATTAAATTTGACTTGGAATCTGCTAAACAAGAGATAAGCATTAAAAATGACTGTTTGTAAGGATGGATAGTGATAGGACAAGGGGGAATGGTTTTAAACTAAAATAGGGAGGTTTAGGTTAGATTTTAGGAGGAAGTTTTTCGCACAGAGTGGTGATGAACTGGAAAGGGTTGCCAAGGGAGGTTGTGGATGCCCCATCCCTTGAGGCATTCAAGACTTGGCTGGGCTAGTGGTTCTGGAAAGCTTGGTCTAGTGGTTGGTGACCCTGCACATAGCAGGGGGGTTGAAACTAGGTGGTTATTGTGGTCCTTTTCAACCTAGTATTTTCTATGATTCTATAAATGTTTTTGCTGAGGGGATGAAATATTTAAATATGAATAACTTATGTTGGACTACTTGTTATTATCTTCACATAATTTTCATATGGCCTTAATTTATTTTAATAAGCTCAATATTTTGATGTAAGTTTGTATTACACTACACTGCTACATTTCAAAGTTTGCTATTTGATTTTGTTTCTTCTGAACTCATAGTTTTAGTATGTACATCTGTGTTCTCTGCTCTTGTCCCGATAATTCCATATTTAACTCTGTTTTGCTGTAATGACACCTAAAGTAAAATTTACAGAGTTAAAAGTAAAGTCAACATTGATCACAGGACTTGGATACTGAAAATCAAAACATTTGAAGTGTTGAAATAAATGAGGAACTAAGGTAAAATAAGCCAGGAACTGTCCGTAATTCTGAGTCTTCATCAAGTTTAGTTCCAAAAATGCATAATTTCAAAGTTCAAAATAGTACCAGTTTGTTGTGAAAGGAGAACTCTTTAGAATGTGAACTTTCCCATTTGTGTGTCTTCATATGAAGAGTATGTATTAGCAGTATTAATTTCAAAAGCATTGTTAGAATTGCCCTGAGTTATGAGATTTGTGCTCTGAAGTGATCTTGAGGTAACAGTGAAAAGAGTTGTGGGGAAAAATTTAACTCATAAAGCTTCTAATAATCTGAAGCAAAAGTTATTTTTCATGAATGAAGAATTAGGACCTCTATTACTCTTTAAAATAAAATGCCAAAGTATTTTTAATAAATAGTCACGATTTTCAGTTATATCTGGAAATACATATCTGGCTTAGACTGAATACATTATGTAATAATGTTGTCCAGTTATTAAAAAATTGAATCTATTATATTTAAGCTTAAAAATTACTATGGAATATATTTATTTTTCATATTAATACAAGAAATTTTCTAGAATGTTCTGCTATCTCCTTATGGACTCTAATTTATCTGTTGTAAGTATTTCTATAAATTACTTCATTATTAGTAATTTTGGTTTTTATTTACAGTTTGTAGAAAGCTATTTCAAGCAAGGTGAAGATCACTTAAGTTTCTAAGCTGTCTAACCAAACTGACTTATTTATATACTTAAATCTTAATATCCTTTGAACACTTGAAACAGAAGTGAAAGGTTTTTTTTTGTCCTTGAGTAAAAATTTTGGGTTAGAAAGAGCCTTACATATGGACTACTGTTCCAGGATAAGATGTCTATTTGCATTTATGCAATTCTTTGCGTTTCCTTTTTGGTTCTGATGCCTAAAGAAATTATGATTAACTAAACCATGAATTACTGATATTAGCTATCTCTAGAAATGGATGCATGACACTAGGGGAGAAAGAGTCTGGGTAGGATAAAAATAAAAATGCACATTTCATGTTCCTGGTAGAAATTGCATTAATTTAGACCATAATACTAGGAAATCATAAAAATATCTACAATCTTTCAAGCTTCAAACACTCAGTATGTACACACATAAATGGAGATGGCAAAGAGGATGGAGTCAGGCTGTATTTAGTGTTGCTTGGGGACAGGACAAAAGACAAAAACTGGAATACTGTAGGTATTTCCTGAACATCAGGGAAGATTCTACACTCACGGAGAAATGGCACTTGTTGCTGTATCGCCTGCAGCCTCTCTGGACTACATCTTTCTTGAAGCAGTAAGTCCATCACTCACAGGACAATCTGTTCTAATAACTTACCTCTTTCTGTGAGGAAGTCATCCTTACATCTATTGTAATCTTCCCCTGATGGGACTTGAGATTGTTATTCCTATTCCTTCCTTTTACTTGTCACCTGAGAAAAGGATGAGACACAGGAAAAAAAAAACGCATTAGAAATATACAAGAATGGGTGATTGTTAATTAGAGGAATTTTTCTACCTGTGTAGGTGGAGAGAAGCTTATTCCTTTGCTGTATCTGATATTGTCTTTGAAATATACTGTACTTGAGTATGCCTAAGTTTAGAATTGCTTTATATTTCTGAGAAACTGTAAAGCATTTATATACTTGGAATATTGAGTCTTTCTTTACCCTTCCTCTGGAATGTACCTATGTAATGGGTGAGAAAGTTAGCAATTCAGTGGTTGCTTGTCCAAGAGTTAATGTGGTGTCTCATTTGTTCTGTATTGACAGTAGAGAGCCTGAAGCACCTTACAAACATTTGAAATGCGACTGAACAATTGTAGTAAGCAAGTTGCAGTCTGGGTTCCTTTCCTCCTGTAGCATTATAAAATCCTACTGTACTTCTCCTTTTACATAAATAAATGACTATTGACAGTCACCTTGAAAATCAGACCATTATGGTTAAACTAATATGTATATAAAATTAATATATCTATAAAATAAGAATTTTTTTATATTAGAATCTGTAGCAGAAAAAATTTCGCTCTAGCAGCCTTTACAGTATGAAACATATTCCAAGAGATCTAACGTTTTCTTTATTTAAAATGTCGATATGAAAAGATGTGATACATCGTTTTTGAAGATTGCTTTTGGCTAAAAAAATCATTGAGACAATTATGTCTGGATCTAGGGAACTAAAGATTTTATATTGTTCTTCATATTTCAGGCTTCAATTGTAAATCTTGGAGAACAGATAACTTCACATTATGAAACTATCTTTTCAGCCTGTTCTTTTTAGCATTATCTGTAGATCACCTATAAATTATTTGGTTTATGTAAGAAATTTTCATTTGTTTATGTTTGAGATAATAGTGTTTTGAAAAATGAAGATTCTTAAAGTTGTTTTTAGGTAGATTTTCTAGGTAGATAGAAGTGGTGTTTCTCTGAGAGGGTAAGTTTGTGTCATACTGATATCCAGAATTTAATATTGAAAGGTATAATTTGTTGAATGATACCACTGTATCAACTGTGAAGATAAATGTTTTCCTGAATTAGGAATGTTATTTTAAATAAATACAGGATTATTCCATAAAAAGTAAAGGAAACATTAATTGAAGATTCATTAGTCTACATCAAAGTACTGACAAAAAAGAATGAATGCA